GTAGCCCTGCGCGGGACTCTCTCCAGTAGTTCTTCATCTTTCTTGAACTGGGGAGCCCAGAACTGGACACAGTACTCTAGATGAGGCCATCAGCTCACCCACCCGTGTTTCATTACCTGTCCCCATGCCCCGAAAGGCGGCGGGGATAATTCCAGGTCACAGCAGGCTGGCGGAGCTAGGTCAGGTCTCAGGTGTATTGGGACCTTGCTGTATTTTCCCTGTTGTTGGTACCGCGACTCCTTCTCTCGTTAGTAGCACTAATTGTTCGTTGCATATTTTGCATACATATATTAGTATTTCCGAACAGCTCATTTTTGCAGCCTGTAATTAAATGACCGCTAATGAACGCTCTAGAAAAGGAGCAGCCAAATGAGATAACCTGTGTGGGAGTGCTGGGTATATATACAGTAATTGCATGGGAATTCACCACAATGTAGCACCGAATGGCCTCCTGCGCTGCACAGGTTCTTGGCTGGGAGAAAGCAGCGTGTGAGCACCCTGCAAACCCTCTGGTCTCTGCACTGCCTCAAGGAACCCCCCCTCCAGGTCCTGGCCCACCACTCACCTCCCTCTTAGCTCTTGTTTCCAGCATCCAAGAGAACTTCTCAGTTGAACCACCCACCACCAGCCCTCCACCCCAACATTTTGCAGGAGTTGCGTATGCTGGACACCCCATGGGGTGAAAATAACCTTCCCAGGGCTCAGGGCTGCCCTGGCTCCTCCGCCTCTTGCGCTGAACATCACCCAGGCACGCTAAAGGTGACCTGTTGGGGCCAACATCCAGGCTTTTCCCATCTCTGTCAAGCAGTCGATCCTTTGGGGCGTCACTGGTCCCAGCCCAAGGCTCTTCCCAAGGCAGTGGGCTTGCTCCCCATCCTTCACCCCATCTCCACCAGGGAGGGCCAATGTCACGTGCAAACCCCAATTCTGGGTCCCAACCACTTTGCAGCCTGCACATGGGCGATCCTCATCCTGCGGGTATTGACCAAGGGAACATCCCCAAAGCACCTGGAAGCTCTGCAGGACACGGCTTTACATGCCCTGCTGATTCCGTGTCCCACACATGCGTGTCTTGGGCAAACACATATTGATCTGAGGGTTCTTCACAGATGTGGTGCTCTGGGTGGAGACGGGTGGTGTTCTCCTAATGTGATGTGAAGCTGCATGCTGCACATCAGTGCTTTAGTGTTGAAACTCTTCCTACTCCGACCATCGAAGTGGTGATGAAATCTGAGCCCAGCCCCTGCCGCTGCACCCCAAGGAGGGCACAATCAAGGGCTGGGGACAGTGCAAGCCAGGGTGCCCTCTGGGCTGCAGAAAGCTCGAAGGTGCCAAAAAGGAGGTACTTGCATGGAAAGGGTGTTTGATTTGCTCTGGGGTCTGTAAGTGGTGGCTTGAGCAGGTCGGGCAGGCTGCTGGGAGCAGGCTGACTGCAGCAGGGAGGGCAGCAGCCCCAGCTCCAGGGTGGACAACCGGGCTGGTAGATTTTGAAGGGCACCTGGGAAGGAAGCGAGTGGCTTCATAAACGTGCCACGTCCGCTGGGGTCTTGCAGATGCAGCACGGGGCACTTCGGGGGCAAGGCTCGGTTGGGTTTTGACCCCAGCGTTGGGTAAGCAGGGGACGGCAGGGGACAGGCTGGACAGGGATGGTGGCTCCCCCCCAGCTCCTGGCAGACCTTCCCAAAGGTTTTAGGTCCTCTTCTGATGAAAGAGGCAGTGAATCCCCACATTCCCTATGTGTGGTTAAAGGCACGTGCTCTGCCATGGGGTGATTATGGCTGTGGAGGTGGAGAGTTTGGCTCATTACCGCGAGAAGCTCTGGCCTCAAGCTTACAGAGAGAAAACACAGTCTGGTCAGGCACCCCCTCCTTGTTTCTCACAGCAATGTCCAACATGATGCCTATAAAAATGCAGAAATCAGATTGACATCGCAAACAAGCTGCTGGGATATGGGATATTTTCATCCCAGAGATGCAGAGATGCTGCTGAGACGTTGAGGCTGTAGAGGGCAACCGAAGCAGCAGGGACCGTAAACCCCTTGGCTGGCATTTAGATATTGGCAGTGCCACCGCCGGGCTTTGGGAGACTTTTGGGAAACCTTCTTGCGGCTCCCCTGGGTGGGATCTGGCCATGGCTGGGCTCTCGGCAGCACCGGCAGCTCTTCCCCAGTGATGTCTCTAAGATAAATGTTTGTCTTTTTCTTCAGAGAAATACAGCAGAGCCGCTGCCAGCACCGCGTCTCAGCGGAATCAGTTTCCATTCTGCCAGGAGCGTTACCGGCTCATGATTCACGTCATTACAGCGGCTTTGGAAGGAGAATGCGCTTCCCGCCAGGCAGACCTTCACACGCGTCGAGATGCCACAGTTTTTCCAGACTTTCCGAAGGAAGCAACAGCCGAGTGAAACATTCCTTCTCCTCTGCCAGCTTTCTTGGAACAACCTCTTGATTAGTGAGTGAGACAGATAGATAGACAGGCAGGCCGGGCAGTAGGGTTATGATAAGCAGTTTGCGTGAGCCCCAGCCTCCGGTGGGGTGGTGCCTCCATCTGCCTCTCACTGCGTGGCTGGCGAGAGCCCTTGGTGTTTGCCATGGTCCCTGACCCCCTGCCCTCCTCTGTGGTCCTGGACCCCCTGCCTTCCACCTTGGTCCCAGACCCTCACCTTCCGCTGTGGACCCCAGTCCCCTTCCCTCTGCTGTGGACCCAGAGCCGGGCGGTGCATGGACTCTGGTCTGCAGCAGGGCTCCTGCGCACCCGCAGGTGCCTTTGCCACCAGGGAGAGGACAGAGGCCACAGCCAGCATCATCAGGGCTCAGCCAGGGCGTCCCTGCAGCCCTCACCCCAAAGCTGCGGCCGGGGCAGGCGGGGTGTGAACATGGTGCTGGAGGGAGGAGAAGCAGCCGCTGCGCAGAGCATGCCCGCGTG